GGTTGAATATCCTCAAATATTAGCCTATTTTCTTTCAGAAGTAAAACATTCTATCTCTTGAGCAGCAGCCAACATTTAATGTGTCCCTTTCCAGCCCACATATACCTTTCACTTTAAGCAAACAACATGGTGTTTACTTTCTCTTCATCCACCACCCTTATCCACTTAATGGTGCTGTTAAGTTGTGGCTCTATGTCGTCTGACTGTGAACTAACCCTCTTTAAGGATAAAGAAAATCACTTTATTTGGCCAAGTATGTTACACGCACAAGGAATTTGTTTCCGGTACAGAACCAAGGCAATTCACCCCAGACAACATGGGGTTCAATGTCTTGCCCTTCACTGTGATTCGAACCTCCAACCTTCTGGTAGGAAACAACCGCTCTACCCACCAAACCACAGTCACCCCTAAAATCAACTGGCATGAATTTTGTGATCTTCAACCTCCGATTGTGGGGATGTTTCCTTACTTCTCTAGAGAGACTTAGTGGCGACCGTGCCTTAATGGAGCACCCTTATGATAATACCATTTAGCTGCTTTTCTCTGTCATGCTACTGTAGTGACATGGGCCAGGGGCTTAGACAGATTTACAGAGTTCTGTGAATGGCCCCTGATTGCCTATTCTCTTGCCCCAGCTCAGTTCGCTCTGCCTGGTAGCACACTGCCGCTAAGAGCCCATGAAGCCCACTGACACAGTGAAACTATTGGGCATGAAAAACAGAGCAGATGTGGGTTTTGTAAATATGAGCAAAGGCTTTTGTAGTGTGGAGGCATGCATGAAGGCAGGAGAAGAGGCTGAAGCATGTCACTTATTCCTCTGCTGCTCTCCCTTTCTCTTTCATTCAACATTGTGTGTCCAGGCAGGTGGCTGATTTCCGACACAGACAGATCCATGAATGCTCGACAGCCAGTGAAAGTCATCTTTGTTGTGTTTTTCTTTTCTGTCTAACCTCGGTCAGGTGGTGAACGCTCTGGAGTCCAACCCCACTGCACGGCGCACTCAGCTGCACCACAAGTTTGAGCAGGTCATTGCCCTCGTGGAGGACAACATCTATGAGTGCTGCAGTGAAGCCTGAACCTGTAGGTCCCTTTCTTTCTCCTGCTGACAGCTGCCTTTCTCTCACCTACTTGTTCGATGGAGAATTTCAGCCACTAAGTGTCATTATTATTTCCACAGACTGTAACTAGCGTGAACAGTGGCCGAGCAATGGAGTTAAACGTGCTTCTCAAATGTTACACATTTGCAAAGTGTTCCTCTTCTCATATGGGAACGCTGAGCAATTTCCCCAAATCTTGCCCTGAGACATGGACAGAATTCACATCTGGCTCAGCTATGCTTTCTATCGAAGCTGCAGGAGCGTAGAGATGAGGCTTTTTTTTCCCCCCTGGATGTCTTTACAGTTACTGAGACCTACAGTAAGCCCTGGCGGCAATTGTAACGCACTGAACCCTTTTCTAAAGGGAATGAGCCAATGATGCACTGTACTGTAATATAATGTCCATAGCAATATTTATATATGTGTTTTAATGCTTTCAACTGGCCTGTTCATCAGGATGGGTAGAAAGGACTGTGACACACTCCTCTCATCTCCTAAAACCTGCAGTGTTCTCAGGTGTGCTTGATAATGATGGGTGACTGGCTTCCATCAGCGGTCTGAACAAAAAGTCCCAATGTGCTTTGCAGGTTGATGATGGGTTGAGGAGGAGTGGAGACAGAAATATAAATGGCTGAAATTAATTAAATCAGATGCAATGTAGTTCACTGGGAGGAGCTGCATCAGTATAGAAGTATTGATCAGTGTGCTTGTAAACAGATGAATACCATGTTGGATTCTGACTGGTTTAAAAGATGGAAAATTACATTTATCAAAAAACTCTGAGCTCAGTATAATGTGAGGAGAGAGTGTATTTGTGATGCCAAATGACTTGTCAGAGTTTGTGAAATAAATTGCAGTATTTAGGATTTTAAAGTGTCTAACGATGACAATGTTTATTGTACTAACTGCTGCATTTCTAAAATGCATTAGAGCATAGTCAATTTTAACATTTGAAAATCATTCAAATTTGGCCTGTCACCTGAAAGCCCACAAACTAGCATCTGGAACATCTCAGAAAGCCGTGTAAATGTTCTCACGAAATAGCAAATGAGGGAAAAGTTCTGCACACATTTACTTTTCTTTTGTTTTTATTGCAGGACACAGAACAATTTCCACAGGATCCTAATCTTTACACAATGAACAAAATAACATACCCATGTCTCCTTAATAGGCACGCTGATATTTTGACATCCATTTAAATGCATAAACATCCACCAAACATATGCATCCAGTCTCTTGCAGGAGGCAGGAGGTGCCTTCTCCCTGCAGAGGCTCTTTTTCAGGTCCATCTGTTTGCACTCAAATCTCAGTTGATGCCAAGAGCAAACTAACAACCTCAGCTTTGTCAGCATAAAGATGAGGGGAGACAAAGACCCGGGGACAGCCCAATCTGATGCTTTACTTATCTGAGATATCTAAACAAAGCCATTACTAATTTCACCTAAGTATTCATAAAATGCACTTTTTGGGGATAAACACCTGCAGTAATTACTTGAACAAGCAGTTTTAGCATTTATTTGATATCCTTGATATCAGATGTCATTTTCCTCCACTAGCTCAGCCTTTGTCAGCACTACTTCGACATAGTTGCAAAGGTTGGACCTTCTGTTGTACTAGTTGAACAGAAGCTCTTACTAGTCGCTTTTTTCAGCTAGTGGCACGTTTGTCCAATAAGTTCCAACGTAAGCCGCACTAGTGGCTCCAAAGGCCAACTAATCTGCGTTTTGATGCACTAGTGGCTCTTTAGACCAAACTAGTAATGCTGAAAGTCTTACTAGTTAACTAGTGAACTTAAAGGTTCTGATATGCTAACTAGTCAAAACATACACTAGACTAGCACAGACTAGCTTTAACTAGTGAGAGCCTAGATGCTCACTAGTTAAAGCCACTTTGATTTTACTAGTTAACTAGTGTGGTTCAAAATGTTTACTAGTTCAGTGAGAGCATAGATGCTCACTAGTTAACTAGTGAAGACCAACATGACTAGTTAACTAGTTAAAGCCACTTTGATCTTACTAGTTAACTAGTGTGGTTCAAAATGTTTACTAGTTCAGTGAGAGCATAGATGCTCACTAGTTAACTAGTGAAGGCCAACATGACTAGTTAACTAGTTAAAGTCACTTTGATCTTACTAGTTAACTAGTGACCCTCACCTATGGTCATGAACTTTGGGTCATGACCGAAAGGGCAAGATCCCGGATACAGGCGGCCGAAATGAGCTTTCTCCGCAGGGTGGCCGGGCGCACCCTTAGAGATAGGGTGAGGAGCTCGGTCACCCGGGAGGAGCTCAGAGTAGAACCGCTGCTCCTCCACATCGAGAGGAGCCAGCTGAGGTGGCTCGGGCAGCTCTTTCGGATGCCTCCTGGGCGCCTTCCTAGGGAGGGAGGTCTGGGCATCTTTGCTTAGACTGCTGCCCCCGCGACCCGGCCCCGGATAAGCGGAAGAAAATGGATGGATGGATGGATGGAGTTAACTAGTGTGGTTCAAAATGTTTACTAGTTTAGTGAGAGCATAAATGCTCACTAGTTAACCAGTGAAGACCAACATGCTGACTAGTTAACTAGTTAGGGTCAAAGTGACTAACTATTTAACTAAGACTCACTAGTGAGGTCCAAACTATCCACTAGTTATACTAGTGAGAGGCATTTTGACTGAGCTAGTTAATTAGTAAGGTACAAAACATTTACAAATTTTTTTGAGTCTCACTAGATAACTAGTAAGGTCAAAGTGGCTTTAACTAGTTAACTACTCAGCATGTTGGGCTTCACCAGTTAACTAGTGAGCATCTTGGCTCTCATTAGTTAAGTAGTGACCTCAATCTATGCTTGACTAGTTAACATGCCAGAGATTTTGCAGTTCACTAGTTAACTAGTAAGACTTTCAGCATTACTAGTTCAAAGGGCCACTAGTGTGTAAAAAAGCTGACTAGTTGGACAAAAGTGCCAATAGTTGCTGAAAAAGAGCGACTAGTAAGAGCTTCTGTTCAACTAGTATGACAAAATGTCCTATTAGTGCAACCAGATGTGCAACTATGTGCAAACGTGTGCAACTAGTGCTGACAAAGACCGAACTAGTGAGGAAAAATGACATCTGATATCAAGGATATCAAATAAATGCTAAATGATTTGCCATATAAGAGCGGATGTGGCTGAAATCATCATTTGTCGAGTTAGATTTTTGCCTGTTGTGTGTGTGAGCGTTTTTTGTGTGCAGTGGGGAGCCTGGAATGTGTTCAGATGGATTGTCACAGAGACAACACCCCATTCATGCCAGGTTAACTCTGCGAAACCAGCTGAACATTCTTCATGATTAAATGGATTGAAAATGCACATGCTGGTTCAGTCTTACCGAAGGCGTGGTTGTGGAGAGGTAAGTCAAGACAACTAGCCAATGGACCGTAGTGCTGGTTGCAAGTGGTGGATCCCTAGGTGTGTAGGGACAGATGGGACAGGGAGGAGGAGGAGGAGATTGAGGGGCACAGATCAAGCGGGGGCCACCTGGCTGGAAGGAACAGATGAAGTCTGGGTTTTGGAGACCACAGCGGCATCGTTGTCTCCAAAGGGGTTCTTTCCACAGCACACTGTGGTGATCATGCAGTTTCTGAACTGAAGACCAAGAGGAAGAAGACTTGAATCACAATTTACACCTTCACTCAGGGGAATAAGTACTCAGACCCAAGCTGCAATACATGAATGTAAAATAGTCCATTGCATATATTCCTGCCAAATACAGAATATAAACAGCAGCATGTATTTAAGGTATCAAAAGTAACCTTAAATTAAAGTAGCATTTTATTTTTGCAGCTGAGGTGGAGAAAATATAAATACAGGTATATACACAGTACAATAATTTAGGCCACTGATTCCAAACCTTGAGTTAAGTAATTTTCAAAAGGTCCCAAGATCAATCGGAGGAACTGTAACTTAATTAATCTGATTACAGAAAAGAAAAAAATGCTACTACACAAATTTGTATTTATTTTTAGACTGTTTTTCTGTGAAAAGTGGATCACTTTACCTCTTTTGGCATTGAACAGTTATCTAAATGAAAGCACGTGAGCGTGCCTTTACACATAAAAGATAACCAAATCAGGATATTTTGTTCACATACCTGTCTGTTTAGCAGAATGTAGATGACTGGGTTGTAGAGAGCGGCACTCTTGGCAAAGAAAGCCGGAGCAGTCATGAATACTGGCCCAAACTGAGCTCCCTGACTGGCAAAGATGTACCAAGCCACGCTGGCATAAGGCACCCAGCACACCAGGAAGGAGATTACCATAACAATAACCATGCGTGTCACTTCTTTCTCTGCTCTCTGGGTGGTTTCAGACCCCTGCTGCTGGGCTGCAGCCTGAACACAGACAGGCACAGATTAAATTTCCAAACTGAATGATAGATCTTTTAATCAGTGGAACAACAGCAGAAAAGAACTAAACCTGCTAGTCATGGTTAATCATATTCTGATTTCAAACTCAGCAGTAAAAGAAACAGCTTGATATTCATCATTAAGTCAAACTGTAATTTACATGTCAAAAAATTGCAGACTGAATTTTTAGGAACAGAAAGGTCTGCACAGAAAAATGTTATTTATTTATCAGTGTTGTTATATTAACATTAATGAGGGCATAGTGATGACATCATGAGCAGAGAGACTGTCCTTCACCTGGAGGACCTGTGTATAAGCTGCCACGTTGGCAGTGAGCCAGTCAATCCTTCATATCTTCAGAGACTCTGCTCTGTGATAATCTAAACTCCCTCGGTAGAGGGGAGATGTCTCTACAGGGATATACAAGGTATCACATCTTTATTATTAATACTGCATTGGCAGTGACGTTCTTACCGCTCGCACAGTGCAGAGCAGGCGACTGTAGCAAAAGAAGATGATGAAGAGAGGGATGGAGAAATGAAGAATAAACATATAGACGACGAATGAGGCGCTGTTGACCTCAGGCTTGGGAGTGTAGTAGTCAATTCCACAGGAACACTGCATTCCCTCTGGGATATACCTGCATCCACATACAAGGTGATCATTTCCATCATCATCATCATCATCATCATCATCATCATCGCACAGTGTTGCTTACTACATGTCTTTAACTAAGTGTGCTGCAAATGAATAAAATTATCTCTAAGGTGTTTTATTGTGTAATTAATTAGTACATGGTTTTAAAGCCTGGCAGAGTCTAAACACTGAACTGTAAGTACCTGGACCATCCAAACAGAGGAGGTGCAGCACAGGTCAGGGCCATGATCCATGTGAAAGCCAGACCAGCAACGGCATGTTTTTCCCCAAAGCAGAAGTTAGTCATTGGCTTACAGACGACAATGTAGCGCTCAATAGCCAAAACCACCAGAGACCAGAGACCAATCTCTCCTGTGAAATAAAATAAAACAGATGTACATTTAAATACAGCACTTTACTTGATAAAGCACTTGTAATTGTACTGACATGACATTTTAAATCTCAAGAATTTTCACACAAAATATTTACTTGTGAAAATTATACACGAAGAATAAAATCTCCCTTTATCAACATCAGAAGGAAAATCTAATACAGAAGGTGAATTTATGAACCATGTCACTTGTTGTTTCTCTTACCTCCCAAAGTGGTGAAAAATCCTTCAATGTTGCATCCAGTGACACCCAAGGTAAAATATCCATGTAGCGATGTGTAGAGAGTGACTGTGAAGCCCCCAGCGACCATGAAGAGGTCAGCTACTGCGAGGTTGAGCAGCACATAGTTCAGAGGCGTTCGCAGCTTTTTGTGTTTGACAGTGACATAGAGGGTTAGAAAGTTGATGGGGAAGGCAGTGATGATGAGGAACAGCATGTATGCAGCCAGAAGAGAGAACTTCCAGGGCTCAGCCAGGTAGTACTGAGGGTGTTCAAATGGGCTGCGAACCAACCCAGTCTTGTTAGACATGGGGACATAAAAGTTGGGTCCCTCTGTGCCATTCATGGCTGCTGTTGGTGATGGTTTGTCTTCCTCTGAGACCTTGACTCTAGATACAACAATCAGTGCCTCTTCTCAAAATAAAATACTGTGAAGGAGCCTTGCTGTGTAGCTGATGTGCAAATGGGGGCAAAACAGATGGATGGGTGGATTTTGTGCAAGTAAGATGTGCTCTGTAAACCCCCGAGGAGGTGCGGCACCTTTTAACAGGCCGGTCGGATTAGGGACGCGCATGGAGTAGTGTTAGCAGAGATGGAATTAAGACACTGAATCTCAGTTGGTCTCTCTCTCTCTCGCTTTCACAAACTAAGCATTACGAGAGAAAACTCCACAAATAGCAATGCTGCATATTTAGCATTTTCAAGGTAAGACGTTACTGTCATGTGCATCAATGCGGCATCAGAATGAGATGAGAGGAGGGAGGAGGAGGAAGAAGGAACCATCTTATCTGTGAATTAAAGCGTTTAGAGTGGACAAACTACAAATGAAATTTTTTGAGCAATCCAGCTTATTTGCATCCATGAAAGTCTAATCCTCAACCAGTGCATAATGCAGGGCTCAACTCATAGCCTTAAGCGTAATCAGAATCAATGGGGTGTACTGCTCCAGTAATAGCATGCACTCTCACCCCAGCTCTCCATTTCACACACACAAATCCTAAAGTTCAATCTGAACAAGCAAAACTTCAAGATGTTTTTGTAACATTAAGAAAGCCCAGTGCAATTAAAAAAAAAACAAACAAAATATTTATTGAGGTGTTTTTCCTCTGTAAGAATATAGATAATACATTTCCATTACTATACAACAGATAACACAACCTATACTGTTATAAAAGATCATTACAGATTTAACAAATTAGCCTGTGAATGCACTTGTTGGCAGATGTATCTGGTCTTTGTAAATAAGATTCCATATATAACGAATACAGTAGATGTTTTCTATCAGGTCATAATAGTGTTTTTTTTTTAACATTTGGTTTTATAGTGAATTATTTTACATTGTACATCCATGTTTGCTTTAAAGTGATGAAGTAATCACGGGTAGATAATCTGATCCTAATGATCTAGTCAGGTTGACTGGCTGATGGTGCACTTCTCTTGCACTCTAATAATCAACACACAAACACTACTGGTATTAACTCAGTTAGTCATCCTTAGGCTTCTCTTGAGAGGGAATTTGAGGAATAACATGTACCGCATTGATGTCAACTTGACAAACAGATGTCTGCATAGTACATGGTTGTGACGTCTATATTACAGTACCAAAGAATAAATGATCAGATGCAAGAAAATCAACTGTAGGATATAAATCCAAAGGCAGAAATGACTGGCTTGAAAGTTCCAAACTTGAAATGTTTGAAGTAGCTGTTCTAGCTTTAAGTAGGTCAGTTTGGTTCATCAATGGGTCTGCGACAGTAAGGACAGCAGTTGTGTTGAAGCACCAGGAGCTCATAATCCTCACTGTGAAACATCTATGAGGAAGTACAAAGAAATATTACACAAAAACATCTGAAAACCTATGTTGTCTACAAAAGACGAGCAACATGAGAAGAATAAATCAGCTGAAACTGTTTTGTCTGTGGTTACCGCCAGATTATGACTATCTGTACCTTGAAGCAGGTGGGGCACATGGTGATGCTCACATCAGGCAGCAGGGAGCGAAAGTATTCCCATTTGAGGGGCCTGGGCCAGCGTTTGATCAGGACGTCCCTCCTGCTCATGGAGCGCAGCACTGAGCGACTCACCTTGACAGGGACAAAGTCCGAGCCCCCCTGCTGTTTGGACACAGATAAACATGTCCACAATCTATTATGGACTCTCCAGCTGGTTTGGCCAGTTGGTGGAATATTAATCGCCTCATCTGCTCTGTCCTTTCTTACCTCAAAGCTCATTTTGGCCATAAACGGGTCTGTCTTTGCATCATCCAAACCATCATGCATCCTCAAGGCCTGCATGTCTGTATGGTGTTAAAGAACAAATAGCCCAAGCAGCAAGCAATGCACAAAAATCAATGTCATATTTTTACTTTATGTATATTTTCTGCAATTATAAACCTTCAAGACAGGAAAACCCCTCATAAAATTATCCCCCAGAGACTATTCTTAGAGTGACAGTGTTCAATGCCAATCAGTCGTGCCTGTCAAAGGCACATCACAGCTCTGGAAGAACCGAGGCAGATCTCAGCGCCCTTGAGTGTCTGCCAGCTAAGGCATGATAATCCCTGCACTGGAGCTGTGGTTACAGCTCCTGGAGGGTTTGTGTCATTAAGATGAGACAGAAGCCTCACTAACCCTATTAGCTCAACAGCTAAGATGACTTAGCACTAACAGCTTACCCACCAGCACAGAGTCAAGGCCAACACAGACTAGTGACACAAGGCAGAGGAGAGTCACATGCTCTATTCTGAAAAGCTTTGCAGTCTGTTAGGACAGGGATACAAACTCTCAGGAGCAGCAGAATGAGGAGTGAGTGATTCACACAAAGCATGTGAATCATCTGTTACTCTGCTTCTATTAACATGCAGTTACACACACAATCAAAAGGATACCAGAACTGTCCATACTCTGCCAGTGTGCATCTTCCAGTCCCATTTGAGGAACTTCCAGATCAATAAGAGACACAGCCTCTTCATCGCTGATGCCTTCCTCCAGGTAGAACTGCACCAGGGGCAGCACCTCTGTACATAAGGAAGATGCATTAGAAACACAAATGAAGCCCTCTCTGGCAAGTGTTTGTGTCACTGACCATACGATGAAGCTGAGTAGATGAAAGGCTGCCTGCAGTTGGT